CAGAAATCATGCGAGGTTGTAAAAAACGTGTTTTGGTTCGGTCATACACGCATAACCGTGTAGCCGACCTCGATAACACGCATCGCCCCCGGCGACGACCGCGGCATTGCCGGCTATCGAAGCACCGGAATGCTTGGGGACACAATTGGAAAGGACCGTCGAGACAAATGCCGCGAAAAGAAACATGTCTCGCAGACAGATATGCACCAAAAGCAATTGCGCCATGTCGCAGGACGTTGGCGAAACCCGCGCTTACCGTACTCGCCGCCATCTTCGGGTCGATGGCAATGCGGCTTCCCTCATGTCGCCCATGTTTGTATTTAGTTTAGGGGTCGTGATAACAGTTTCTTAGACACCACAAATAAAGTCATGGGTCTAATTATTCGTTCCAAACAGTTAAAATGGATATAAAAAGCGTGTCCTCGATGTGAACACGTGACATTGCAGTTAATTTCGTTTTTGCTTCAACTTTCAGCTGCAAGCGATCTGGCCACGGCGCAAGCGCAACGCCGATGTACGCTGGAAGCAAGCACCAGTTGGCTTTCGTTGTTTTTGTTTGACCAGAGAAAATCTGGCAAGTACGCATGGCGGCGCTACTGTTTTGGTTTGACGGGACGCAAGAAGCTTCGCATAGAGCTTCGGAGTTTGCGAGCACATAGTGAAGACGTGACCGGAGAAGTGCCCCTGTGATGTTCCTGAAAGACGGAAAGTAGCATTCGTAATCGTCGTGTGTGCTTTGAAAGCGAAGGGAGTCACAGGGTCCACGAGTTCGCAACCACAAGCCAAGGTTCACGACAGCGCGGCGTTGACTTCGGCGATCTCGTTCTGTTTGGTGCAACCCGGTGATGCGAAAAAGAGCTGAAACATTCGCCGTGTGTGGTGCGGTGCTTTGTATTCCGGGTCTGTTTGAACCACGCTTTTAACACGGAGCGCAAATTGTTTGTTGCGTGGTGGAGGTTCAACGGGTACAGTCCCGTCGTCGTCAGCTGATCGGGTCCAGCTGGTCCGGGAGGAAGCAGCGAGCGTTTTTAAAAGTAAATCTTCCTTCGTTCCGTTTCAAACTGTGGAAGTATCCCGACACATACCGTGAGTAAGAAGCAGCGGGCGTTTTCAACAAAATTACGTTGTTTTAATTGAATAATGAACTCCGGATTGTTGTCTTCAATCTGCCGTTTTTATGCTTCGTGTTGGACTTCGTTTGCATAGCGACGCACACCGCTCAAGTAGATGATTCGGTCCTGCAACGAGTTCATTGCGCCAATCATGCGGCGTGAATAAATTAGGGCAAGGTTTCCTACCTGCCCACAGATGCATCTACTGAGAGCATTTTTTATGTTTTGAACGTAGTGCTCTTTCTTTATATTGGAAGACGCGTTGGTGCATTTATTATGGTACAATCACTTGAGAGTTGAGAAATTGGAGAGCGAGCAAACTTTCTCAACTTTGTCTCTTTCTCTCTGGCACTGCCCTGTTTCAGTTTCAGTAGGCATACCTACTAGCAGGTACAAACTACTCTAAAGCAGGTAAGAAACGGGAAGCTTAGGACGGTGCGGACTCCGTGTTTCGCGCTTTTCGCAAGGTGACAGGTTAAATGCTTTTGTGAGATATGCGGAATATGCAAGCGATTTTGTTATGCCTGTCGTTTGCATCTCTCCAGCAAAACGAATAAGATGATCTACTACAAAGCGCAATCACAAGCCAAGATTAAGATAGCAGTTGTTTGCTTCGGTGATTTGTGTAGCTGTATTTTACCCTGCTCTCTGCAACACCGTGTCATGACAAAGAGCTGGAACGGTCATAGTGTGCGCTGGCCTCCGGGTTGACAGAAACCCGCGTCGCCCGCATCGGCACGGAGTGCGCTTGGGCTGTTGATGCTCAAGCCTTTCATCCGCGGCTTGTCGCCAGCTCATCCTGCTGCTCAACGGTGAGGAAGCGGCGAGAGTAACCTCGGAAGTGAATGTAAATCCTCGTTCATTCAGTTATCCGGTGTCAAAGTGTGGAAGATGTCTAACGTGTACTGAGGGCGGGAACTACGAGCGTTTTGCCTTGCTTTTATAACCGAAACCAGACCAACGAGATAACTGCCTACTCTAAAATGACGGAAGCAATAAGTTTTAACAGGTCGAGTACGTCTCCGGGGATGTAGGCGAGACGGTGCACACTGTTTAAACGCTTGCAGTATCCACGAGTCGTACCAGGAAGGCGACGTCAACAGAGAAGGAGCTCGCGATTCAGCATAAAGCAGTGCTACGGGCCCGAGTATCTTCAAAGTTCGGGGTGGTGGCAGTATAAAAAAAAAGACGCATCAGCGCTCCACACCAGTGTTCACGAATAACACCGGTCACAAACTCCCAAGCCCCACCGCTCTTCTCGACACCGACACGACATACGACAACAAACTGCATCAAAACGCCCCAAAAGTTAAGGCGTCGGCTCCCGTACTGCAACTGCTGCAACTAGCGGAAGTGAAGTGTTGGGCGGATGTCCGGATGTTCTTTACAAAAATATATAAAAAATGCTTTGCGCAAGGATCATTTTCATTTATTATTGTATACGTAATGACAAAATCCCAATAATTTGTTTTCCTATCTGACTCAAGCTAGTCGGACTGCTCATAACACTGGTCAAGCAAGAAAATAACAAAAATTTGAACTTTTTCATGACCGGTTTAAGATTTATTGTTAACATATCGTTATTTATTGCAACGGACTAACATTATAGATTTTGCCTCCATACTTTTTAAATGCAAACAGTTCTAACACACGACTGTCCATTGCGCCGTGTTTTGTGTATTCTTCTATAAATCTGTAATGGTCAGCGACCAAAGAGCTCACCCGCACATGTCAAGCTTATATGCGCCGCGGGGAGAAATGGATAACGAGTAGGAATTGTGGGGCGTAGTGTCGGTTGTTGTGTTTATGTACATGTCGGTGCTGTGTAGCTGTGTTGCCTGTGTTTTATGTAGGGTTGCTGTGTAGTGGTGGTCGTTCGCAGTGTTAACAGACTCGTCTTTTTTAAAAAAAACAGCCTGCTAGAAATCTCAATAGGTGGCGCAAGTTACCGCCCGATTCGAAATAGTTTGCTCAAGTTATCTATTCGTGTGAGTTGGGCATTCGTTGTATTTTTTTTTGTCTAGCGGCTTGTTGAAGCTACCGACGCCGCCGACCGCCGACAACGCACGTACGTACCTTTGCAAGCAGCTACGTCCGCCGCTTGGAGACTTTACTGTGTATAAAAGACATCGAACGATAACTAACGCGCCCTGTGTGCTTTCAATTTGGCTGAAAGGCGCGGGGCTCGCTGCGCTCGTCTCTCGCCTGTTCTCGGCCGCTGGCCGCCATGTTTCATTAGGAACACGCTCGAAACGGTTTTGCGAAAGGCAGACACGGTGTAGCGTGTTACGTTTACACAGCACCTCATGTGTAGACGAAAAACACAGATGGCCTTGTGTAAAACGAACACGTTTCGACGTGTCCGCTATGGGACAACGGTTTACACGTCTGGGCGTGTTATTTTTGCTAACAGTGTAGGAACCTGCTGCCGAGTTGAGCGGCGTCGGCGTAACCGCGCGTTGCATTACGGGCTGTTTCCAAAAAATAACGTCACGCGTGTCGTCACGTGTGTCGTCACGTGTGAGATCACGAGGGTAAAATTTGCCGCTAAATTTCGCGGTAAAAGTTTTTGGTAAGTTTGGCGGAAAATTTTTCCGCTAAATTTAGAGGAAAAATTTTACCCGTGTGACGTCACGTGACGTCACACTTAAAATTTCAGATGACATGTCATGTGACGTCACACGTCAATTCAGCGGGAAATTTAGAGAAATGCTTACGCTCAGTGGGGACCCTACTGAAAAAACCTGTACAAATGTATACCGGCCTGTACCGGTTCACACCGGAGTCCTGTATTCTCATATCGGTAACCGGTAGCTCTGTACCGGAGACCTGTAACCACGTACTGGCGAAGCCGATACGCCGTACCGGCTGCCCATATCATGTACAGGCGGCCGATAAACCCGTACGGGAACAGCCGGTAGGCCACACCGGTAACCGGTAACCACGTACCGGCGAAGCCGATACGCCGTATCGGTTGCCCATATCATGTACAGGCGGCGAGTGAACACGTACAGGCGAAGCCGGTACGCCACACTGGTGGGCCGTAATAACGTACCGGTGGCCAGTAATCGATGCGCGGCTAACAGCAACCACGTATCGGAGCGACCGGTAACGCCTTACCGGCGCCGGCACTTAAACCGGCGGTCGGTAACCTTGTACAGGCTCTACCGGTATACACAATAGACCTATCTCACTAAGCGTTGGGCGCATGCGTAAAGCCGCCATAACTTTAGTTCACAGGAGGCAGACGGCCGTGCACGCGAGGGCTCGTGCCTTCTCGTGCTCTGCACGCGAAGAGCTTCAGCGAGGTTGTCGCACGTGCCCAAAGACTAAAGCTCCCTCGCTGCATTGCGGCAGCGGTGGCGTAGTCAAACTGGCCGGTGAGATCGGTCTATTTAACGCGACCAGAAATTATCAGACCTCGACGGGAACGCGCTCACAGCGAAACTAAACTGTGATATTTTTTTCAATAAAGAATTTTAATCAGAAAATCACATATTATGTAATTTCAGTTTAACAGTTTGAGCTATCAAACTCAACCATTTTATGACGTGCATATTTAAAGTCATAAAATGAGAAAACCAAATCCATGGGAAGCGAGGCCGAGATAAACGAGAGTTTGCTTCATAGCTTTGAGCCCTGTACCGCGGTAGTTTCGGTTTCGGTTTATTGACGTTGGATTGGATTGGATTTCGTAGCTGCAAGCCAGAGTGCAGAAAAACAACCAACGACGGACAAACAATGTTTTTCTTAACAATAAATAAACTTAACATGGTAAGTTTTTATGCTTTTAAATGTTCTAAAACTACTTTGAGTAATAATAGTATTAATATAAACTAAGGCAGATTATTTATTTAATCCAATCCAATCCTTACGCCGCTGGCCGCCAGCCAGAGTCGTGAACCAAAGCCGCATTGACGTTAGGGCTATCTCGATCGGTGTGTATCGGTGTCGATATGTACTAAGCGTACGTGATTTATATTGATGGCGCGAAGGCAATAGTCAGCGTGGTGAACCGTATCAAGAAGTTCAAACCGGCGATCGTTGGCGACTTTGACCCCGACGTGTCGAAAAGCGTCTACTGGGAGGCTGTTGGAGCGTGCGCCGGGGAATGGTAAGTTGTTGTCTACGCATCAGGGGCTCGAAGCACAACGTATACTGCAAACCGTTAATAGGGAGTTTTCGTAGATCGTTTTCGCTGTCCCGCAACGCCCTCCGCAACTCGCTATATACCCGGAACTCTACAGTCAAGACTATCGGCGGGCAGGCGCATCTTCGTTGCGGAGGGGAAAACGCGGTCTACGAACACTCCCTAATGTTCGCCAGCCCCCGACTGTTTGCAAATTCCACGCGTCCAAAAATTAGCTAAATTTAAGGACACGCGGAAAGCGGAAATTTCGTGGGCCCCCGTTCCGGCGTCCCCCGTTCCGGCGTCTAAAATTCGCGAAATGTGGTGGGCACGAATATGTCATTGCGCCCGATTCGGTCCTTGCGCCCGATTTGTGAAGAACTGGGCGGCAAGAGCAAAGGGTTTTACGTTGTTTAACTACAGGGCGCTCCAGACGGTAGCCACGACACTCAAAATAAATCGCAACAAATCGGCTTTGTAAGCTTGACAAATTTACCACATAAGTTCGACTAGGTGGTGCATTTAATGTGTAAAAATATCGAAAAAAATAACTTTTGAAACAAGGGTTATAGCGCAGGCTGGCTGGTGAACGGTCATATTTATAAACCCCGATACAAGAAAGGAAAGGGAGACGAACACAACGACTTTGAGATGTAATTCAGTGTGCATGTTTTGTTTTACAGAGACATGAGCTGAGCTGGTTGCTGCTTTGAAAAAGAAGCACGTGGCCATCCCTATGGTATTGAACGCAAGGTTCGAGGTTTATGTGTGCCTTTAGGCTGTTTTTCTTACCTCATCTTCGACTCTGTTCAGAAGGAGGGGGTTCGTCTTTTGTTTCCCTTTTTCAAATCAGCAGCATACACTGACTTCCGTTACCAGCGGGCAGTAATAGACCCTTTCCGAAATTCAGTGCCATCTGGTGGTTCGTAAAGCAGTTTAGGTTTTGCGGAATCAATGGCGGATATAAACTTGTGTCGGCACTGTCACTTTCGCAAGTCAACGGCGCGCGAGGAATTGTTCAGTGTGAGTTCTTTCTCGATCACTTTCAGTTCGATGGTGACCAAGAACCTGCATTCAGAACAAAGGTCCAACCCACTCAGATGCCTCGAGAAAATTCTATACACCAAAGTGCTTTAAAGCCGCCCACAGATTGACTGAATCTGAGTTATTAGAAATAAATGCTTACGTAGCTCTTGTGTTCCATTCATATCTCGCGTCGTACTGACCCCCTGAATGTACAGGCCTCGCAACATCCGCTTAGGAGCATCTTCAACGTCTTCCTTTATCACTTTATCAGTCACTAGAAGGTCGACATTGGTATGGCACAGATGCCGTTCCACAGATGATGATAGTGATCAAAGTGGCCAGACTGAATTTCGGAAAGGGTCTATTGTGGGTAAAATTGAACGGTTAGGCTAAGAAATATCTTGCATTTTGTTCGCTTTACGAGTAATTGTGTCCATTTATTATGGCTGGTCAGGACTATTTGTACAGACACTTTTTAAATTGCTTGCTATTCTGGTACACAGATCCGGTGGGTAGAACGCTCTATGAAAGTGGACCACAAGCCGCACTTTAACACACAAAGCGCCGCAGCTTGGCCACTCCTGATCTCGACTGTGCTGTAGCTGCAGTTGTCCCTCTTCAATTTCAAGAGACACTCTCCTGCTCGTTTCTCGACCGCATTAAATCTGAATTCGACACTCTTCAGTCTTACGAGATGTGCTCACCTGCTCTAAGTCAAGTCAAAATCTCGCTGTACACGAAGTTACATCTCTTCTCAACTATCGCAAGACGTCCTCATTTGTTTGGCGTCCTGCTTGCGTTGCAGCCGAAGTTTCCTCTCTTTAATCTTTTCATTCGCTTCAATGGTCCTCTTGTTGCTACTTGCCTCTCCAGCTTTCAACAAACATGTTTTATGTTGTTCCGAAGTACCCTAGGCACTTTGCTTTCACTGTGCCTCAGCACGCTTGCGTAATGTTCCTCTGGTGAGACCTGCTTTCGCATACCGACAACGAAAGATGATACTCAAGTCTGGTTCACAGATCTCTCCTCAGATGTGGCTATGTGCGACTGCGACCAGATGCGGCGCACATTGCTATGTCAACAACGGCGTTGAGTCACTGGCACGTGCGTCAACGCAGCTCTTGCCTGCAACCAGTAGCTCTTTCGCAAATGCTTACCCATGTATGCTCGTAGTGAAGCGGATACGATGCCCGGCTTAGACTCCAACAGTTGTGGGTTTGAGGCGCAGTGCCGGCGGCATGTTTTTCTTTTCTGAATTATAATGTGCCGGCACATGCTGTTTTCGAAAGCAGTTACAAATCCTCGGAACAACAGACGCCTAAAGTGCATATGCTTTGCTTATAGATGCTATCGTATTTAAAAGCACTGAATTGTAAGTACAAAGCAACTGAGAGTTTACGTTCCTCATAGAAAGTACACTGGTTGCAAAGTAGTATTATCATATTTTACTTTCTAACTAACTTAGAAGTACCTTCTAACAGAATATTTTATCATGCTATTTCGTTTACCTACACAGTGTTTTCTGACAACAGGTATCGTCCTTTGCACACTAGAGTATGTAAAGGACGATATACCAATTATTTCCTGTAATGACAGTGAATACCGGATATCTTGTCAGGGGCGTCTGGAAGCATTTCTTCAGGGAGGGGGCAATCACAGGTATAGGGCTGAAACCTGCACACAAAACATAAAGGGGGGGGGAGCAATTTAATGTGAACTATGTGTGTCCCAATTATGTGTTGGAGTTTATATTAAATAAATATTACAACACCTGGACCTTTTTCTTTTCGAGATTTTGATGTCGCCATCCGCTGCAGTGGGTGGCAAGTACAAAAAAAAAAAAAGACGGAGGACAGGACGTCCGCTGTGTCGCTTGGGGAGCATGCCCGACTGGTTGAAAAGCTGAGGTCGGCAAAGCAGAGGGTGCTGAACCTGGAGCAGGAGCCCCAGATAGAGAGGACGCTATCAAGAAGCAGCTGCTGGCACTACTAGGTAAGCGTGGAGGCACTTTCAGTTGCTTACCTCACACACTACATATTATGTGCTCACACTTTATCTGAGGGATCAAAAGTAATTTTAATTTTTTTTTGTCGCAAACAGAAGTAAGCATATACTACAGGGGTGCCTCAATGTATCAATGAGTTTAAGAGGTGTCTATAATTCTATTTTCTTCTCCTAGGGTGCAAATGGAGCTTTGAGAGTTTGTTTCTTGTTGCTGATGGCGATGAGCCCGTTTTGCTCGGCAGCGCTCTTGCTTTGATTGAAGAAATATTTTTCTGGCTCTGCAGTATGTCAAACAATTATGTCATACCAAGACACCATGGTCTGTGCGCATAGATGAGGCTTGAAGTGAAAGTTTGTTCTGTCAGTGAAAACATTTTAAATATGCGCTTTCTGATGAGCCCGGCCAGCACACATCCTTTCGTCATTGGGGAGAAAGGAGTTCTTTTTGTTGAGGAGGAGGGAGTGAGGAAGCTGGTCGTAGGCATGACCACAGCACCAACTAGGCTGAACTTTAATCGGGCGGCAGATTGTGCCTAGCGACGCAGCTGTGCAACTGGTTAAAAGGTGAGCAGACGATCTGCTACAGCATTGAATTTCGTCAGAAAGATTGAGCTTATATCTCGCAAACCGTTGGAAATGCTTGGCATGAATATTCATTAGCTATTCACCGGTATTTTTTTTGTAAACTAAACAACCTCTCTGCCACCCACTGCCGGCGAACTTGAGCGCATTTTTTTTCTTCCTCTTTTTCTTCTTTGGTTTTGTTTCTCATCCTTTTGTTTTGTGTACTGCTCGCGCTACTTTTCCAGTCCCGGTGTGTTACGGAAAAACAAATAAGCACACTGCCGGTAGTCTTCTGTGGCATGAAGTACTATGAAGCCCTCATGCCATCAACGAACCAGGAAAGTGCTGAAGTCCGAATAATCAAGCTTGTCTGAATTTTTGGCGTCCGAAATATCGGTTGACTCCTGAACTGTGTCTTGTTTCTAAAGAGTGTTTTATTATGTTGCAGTGGACAATGTCCCGTCTGGCAGTGTTGGGTCAGCTCCTCCAGCATGCCCAGCAGTGGTTCCTGCAGCTGGCGCTCCTGCTTCAGTTCACGTAGTGCGAGCTGGTGTGGATCACACTCGACCTGTACCGGCCGCTGATGCTGCTGTTCCAGCAGCGGATCTTGTAGCAGGCCCGCCGGAGGCATTTCCCTAGTGTGTGCCAGTGCTTGCAGAGGCTGACGACGAGGTAAGTTCAGAATTTCATGGAATATTCATTCCAGATATTGGGCAAGTGACTAAATTTTATTGTTTCCACAGCTCCTTGAATGAGGTTATTTATATGCTTCCATAAATTGAACCATCTGGCTGCTTCAAAATACTGATGAATGTAAAGAGTAGGGCCGGGCATTGATAAGATATTTCTTGCCAATTAATTGGCACTTTTCTGAAACGTTTTCTATCTAGTGTCCTTGTCTTATTTCGAGCTTTTTCATAAATCATGTACCAAGTAGCCCAATTAAAATTGTGTTATAATTGGTACCCTTCTTTCGCTTTCTCTCTTTACTCTGAACTCACTTAAACGGACACTTACACCCCCCAATAAAAGTTTTCATTTTTTTCCAGCCGATTTTTAATGGTGTCGAAAGACTACCAAATTTATATTTTGCAACAGTCACATATATTTTTATTAAAGCCAAAAAACGCAACTGCTCAGAACCGAAACTGAAACCCGCGCACGGAGGTCGGAGAAGAGAGAGTGAGTGGGCGGAAGTCACGTGGCTGCACCCGACCGTGAGCTTTTTTGTTTTCCCCTCCGTGTTTTTTTTTTGTGTGCATAGCAGACGACATGCGTGGTTGGAACTGTTTGCTATGCGATTCTTTTGCAGTTATGTTTGTTCCACTCTCTGTTCTGTACTTCAAGATGAGGTGTTCTTTACATTGAGAAGTTGGAGACGAGTAGTGAGTACCCGTGGTGAATTTCTGTGATTGGCTTTGAAAAGAATACCCCCAAGATGTTGCGTGAAGAGCTGCCTTGCATGTCCTGCGTCCGAAAAAAGTGGCATTGTGCAGCACACGTCTGCACAAGTTTTCGAAAGATCAATGAGATCGGGACCAATGGCTGGCTGCATTTCCTGTAGAGCATTTCTATTTGTTTCTAGGTTCACCTTTGCCATGGTGTCTCGGTGAAAAAGGACAAGCTGTTCTACGTTAGGGGAGCCCGGGGAGACTCCATGTTCGTTAAAGAGGCGACAAAGTTGATCTTCGGCAGGGAGAACCTGCATGGGCGGAGTGTGACTGGGGTGCTATGCCGGCGCTTCTAGGGCGCTGTCGCCGAGAGGGCCCTGACTCCAGTCAAGTTGGCAGCAGTAAGTGCCCACTTCTCACAGATTTCTCATACTTGGTGAGTCACTCAAACCTTATGGCTTATGAAGTTGCAACCTGCTACGACAAAATTAATATGATAAAATATTCCAAGGCTTTCAGAACTTTCAGTGTTATAGGCTGTTGAAAGGTCACGGTTCGACTAGTTCGAGCTTTAGGAACGTGAAACTCTGAGCGCAAAACCGAAATGAAGAAGCCCTATCTCCCTCTTTGTTTTTAATATATGAAGAAAAGTAAAGTGACCTTGTCACGGTCATCTAGGTCCCTTGGTGCTTTCTGAGGTATTCACACTGAGGGGGTTTTACAGTAACATGCTCCGCATTGCAAATATCGGCTAATCCCTGCAAGTTTTGGGGGAGGTCCATGATATCAGTGGCCTGCTTGCAGAACCTTCTGCTGAGGCACTTATTTTTTCTTTTGAACGAAAAGCTGGCACTAGCAAAGTTGTGAAAGTGAGTCTGTTCACTAGAACTGCTGCAACTGAACTATGTTTGGCTCTGTCCTTTGAGTACTGCCCATTTTTTCTGAACCGCCTTCTCACCGTGGGTGTTCCTCCTCTCTAGTGCTCAGTTTTCTTACCAGGGAACTATCTCGTATGAATAGACCATTGAAGGGTCGAAACACGGATATTAAATTAGTTAAATGGTTCTTGATATCAAATCTGTGTTGTCAATTTATATACATGCCCAGAACAACAATTGCAGGTCAAAATCTTTCTTTCGCACTAAAACTGCCAGTCGAGAATTGTGTGTTCAGTGTTCCTTTTACTTGTTCCCATGGTGACATTGTTGGGCATGAAATAAGTTAGAGGTTGTAGGCAATCAGAGGCCCATGTTCATAATTGAAAATAGATATTTAGATTTATAGAACATACTTTTACTTAAGTTAACAGGCAGGCGAGCTGGTTAGGGATAGACGTGGTTACCCGGGAACGTGGGGAAAAAAAGGGACAGACAGACACGAAGCTCTGGAGCTTCGTGTCTTTCCGTTCCTTTTTGTCCCCTGCTCCAAGGTCTATAATTTTCATAAACACTGAAATGCAGGGAACACACTGTTTCAAGCAAACTTTAAGTGCATAGTTGTGGAAAGTCACACTAGGTCTTTTCGATTTGCTTGAACTGGCCGATCTAGTTCAAATAGTGTAAGAACTGACTCATTAGATTCAACCGGAAGTTGCATGGACGCTGAACTGGCCTGTTCGATTTATTCCAGTGCTGCACGAGCTCAGCCTCAGTTTCACAGAATCTTGCGCTGGCCGAAGTCACTTCAGCGTTCATGCAGTAACAGATGGCAACTCTTCGGTCTTTCGAAAACCAATTACAGGGTCGTTTGTAACGCTGCAGCTTAAGTTCACGCAGCCGCAGCCTGACTTGCGCACTGCTTCTGCACTCCTCTGAACTCGGTCTGAACTGGTTCAAACCTTTCAGGCCGAATCATGCATGCCTGCTGTTTTAAGCAGACTGCGTAATCGTAAGAAGTTACTCTTGGGGTCTACATGGTATCACAAGATATTAACAAAGCATAAATTGTAGCGGAAATTGCTTACTTATAATTGCAGGAAGTAAAATATTAAATTTTTCAGGAAACTGTAGATATACATGACTTATTGTTGTATTCTTTTCCCCTGCAGATGCCTTCAACGAGTACCTATGGAGGCATCCTCGAGAGGCCCCTCCAGGGAAGAGGACAGCTCGGGTGAATCTACTGCAGTATGCACATTTGTTAATATCCTACTGCAGGATATTAACTAGAAGTTTGACTTCTAAGCTTGCTTAGAGGTTAAGCTTCTTGTTGGTGTTCTGCAGATGCCAATTTGCGTTCACTAAATACACGTATAAACTGAAATGACCTGGCTCATGCTCATTCTTTGCATGACAAATGCATGCGAATTGTTAAACCTGCAAAGATCCATCCATCCGTTTGCAAACGTTGGACACCACGTTGATTCCTATTACTGCGTCAGAACGGATAAACTTTTAAAGATATAGGTTTCTCTATCTGAACAGATGAACATGCATAAATATTGGTTCCTATATCTAAATGGGTCAACCTGTAAGGTACGGGTTCCTATATCTAAACGGGTCGACCCGTACAGGCACGGTTTCCCTTACCTAAACGGGTTAACCCGTACAGGTACGGGCCCCGTATCTGAACGGGTTCCTGTATCTGAATGGGTCAACCTGTACAGGTACGGGTTCCCAGTATCATACGGGAGACCCGTATCCCATAACACCGTATGAGATATACGGGTCAACCAGTATGAATTTTTATACGGGTTGTTTCAGTAGGGGATGGGAACAGGAGAGGAGGATGGGAGGGTACGGAGGGGAGCGGCTGGCATACTTTTCCCCCTCGTACCCTTCCTCCCTCCTCCTCAAGAGCTACGCTCCAATTTGGCATTACAAAGAATTGTAAACGTCTAATTTTTTTTTAACGTGTCTTTATTAAGGGTTATCAGTGGCCGAGTGGTCTAGCGCCCACCAGATCTGAGTACGTGGAGAGAAAGCTCGCGCTGGAGAACCCAGTGATCCTGAGCTCAATCGCCAGCCCTGCCCGAAGAACACACTTCCAATGAAGTGAGTTCGAGGAGCACACTACGCTCGCTCCGGTAGACCGAGTGTGTAATCTCGATAGCAGTGTTCAAGGAGTCAAAATAATAGAAGAAATTAACGCTGCGTAAAATTAGTATTATTTTGATAGGAGTAAATTAGATGCGCACTTGTTTTCTGTTGGCAGGAAAGTAGTGTATTGTAGAAAAACAAGCAACTAATCTAGTTTACAGCCTTGGCCCCTGCGCGACGGTCAGCGACGGCCAGGAGGCCTCTGCAAGACTCCACCAGGAATCTGAAGGTGGCAGGAGAGACGCGAAAGGCTCAGAGGCTTGCTTAAAACGGAACTCGCCCAAATTGGGCAAGGTGTCTTCGAACCACCGTTCGTTCCTCTGGAAAGTCCACCGTTCTCGACTGATCACGGGTAGGTTGGCGGTCATGAGAGCGGCTATGGTGAAGGCATTGGCCTGCAGCTGCTGATCGATGTCACTTGAAATTCTTGCCTGTGCGTCGGAATCCAGGTCGAGCTGCCTCTCATATGAAAGGCGTTGGCCTTTCACGGAGTAAAGTACCCCAACCACGCGCTTCCACTGTCCAACATCGCGGATATCGCCCTCCAGCTCGTCCTCCACACTCTCCATGATGTTTCGTTGTGGCGAGTGGCCGAGTGGGCTCGCGCACACCAGCTCGGAGCTCGCGGAGCGAATACTCGCGCTGCAGAACCCAGGAATCCTGGGTTCACTGCCTACTGCTTCTCGTTTCGATCTATACTCCGTTTCACCTTATGTTGTACCGCAGACAAGGCTAGAAGCGCGAGCTCATAGCGTTGGAAGCTACTCTTAACGTACAAGAGCTTGTGCCTCCGAGATGTGCCCTAGAGCAAGGAGCTCGCGCTTGTAGCCTTTCCTGAAGTACATCATAAGGTGAAACAGAGTATAGATGAGCATCGTACCGGAGTGCGGGTGTGTATCACTGGCTTGTAATGGCTGATCATAATGATCAAATTGGATTTGAATTGGGATTAAAGCTCGTGCCTTCGCTCAACAATGTGTGGTAACGTGTTTCTATTAAGACGACGAAGTTATTTATGAAAAAATGCGTATGCACTGTAATATTTTGCGTGGCCTTTACTTACCCATCGCTATTGCCATCATTTTGGAGTGACACTAAGTTTCCCCGTGTAGCACCAACACACTGGAGTGTGTTTCAACGGGTTGAAGTGCACTCGCTCGTAGTGACACTAAACTAGCCCGTCTGACAGGGGTATAAGCGTAGCTCATTTGGTTTACCTCATAGGCTAAAACTAAAGCCCCTCCATCCTGGGAAAAGTGGCGCCCTTCATTGTTGTGGTGTAGCACGTATACACGTGCCGCGTGCCACTTCTGGGAAGAACTTGCATCGTCTGAAATCTAGCTCAATGCTGCACGGTGCCGCCGTGGTCTTCCCAAGAGCTGCACGTTGCACGTGCCTCGTGCATCCACGAAGCTTGCGCTACTTTTGAAACATGAAGGGGCTTTCACCAAGCCTAGAGCCATTCTATGTGGCAGCGTAGCTGCCAGAGTAGCGACACGACGCAAAATTATCTAGATACACGACGTCAGAAGCGCCTATAGTGATCTCCATTTTGGGCCTGGGAGGTTTCTATGGTAACCGTACTGCTCGCGACGCCGGGCGGCAACGTTTATCTAGTTGATCTCTCCATTCGTTAATTGAAAAGTGGTAAAAGACCTAAAAGGCGCTTTGCATGGTGGTTATAGAAGAACTTCTGGACGTTATGGTGTTTAAATCGATAGCAACTTTATGTACACTATTTACAGTCAGAAAAGGGACATCGAAGCTAGGCAGAAACGGTTGTAGTCGGCTCGTTCCCCCGCTGCTCGTGCTCATCTGGTCGTGCTCGAGCCTTGGCTTGTTCAGTCCGCTGTTTTGTCGTCTTCTAGACCGCCGTGGAAGTTTTTACACACTGCCCCCGAAATGAACTGTAGTGGTTTTCATCTAGTATGGCCGGTTCAATTGGTGTTACAGTTTGCAAGACGTTCGCAGCTTTTTTCTCTTCCAACTCACAAAGGAATTCTTCCTTTGGTATCGTCGAACGGGCTCCATGGTGGGGAGGGTTTTACGAACGACTCGTCCGCTCGGTCAAGCTGTCGCTGAAAAAAGCCCTTGGCTGCAGGAGTCTAACCTCCGATGAACTCTACACACCACTGACAGAAGTAGAGGCTGTTATAAATTCACGACCCCTCACCTACGTCTACAACGACATAGGAGAACCAGAGGCTTTGTCGCCGGCCAATTTCCTGACGGGAAAACGACCGACATCTTTTCCCACACTTGGACTTACAGAGGATTTGCAAATCTAAAGGTCCCTGGTTCGTTCCCGGGTTTGTTGTTTCGGTTGGGGTTCGTTGTTGTAGAGTTCGGATTGAGTAGTCCAACTGAGCCAGGTAGGTGACGGCGCGGTCCTTGTACTCGAATGCCCGGGTGTATTCTTGTTCCGCGTCATCCCCCAGGAAAGGCTCGATGGCGACATCTGTTTCGGTCATTTGGGTACGCAGACTACCCAATCGTTGCCTGAGGATTTCGATGTCCCGTTCGATGATCGGATCACGTTGAAGAGCAGCGTCGATGTCTGGTATCAGCCTTGTCAGTTGGCTTCGTAGGGCCTTCCGTTTCAGTTTCAGACGATCCATGAGTAGTCGTCAGCCGTGGCTTGAATGGAACGTATCAGTAGTCCTGCGTTAGTTGCTGAAGATTCGGTAGTTCCCTCGTCCAGGTTCCTCTCGTTGCGTCTCGTTGCCGGGTTTCGGCACGGGCCTCTGGGGGAGCGGTGTCTGTTTTTTCTGTGAAATGAGACGATTGGCAGCGTGCACGGACAAGGCGAGTTGTCTTCCGCGCCGCCGGGATGGCGCCGGCTTCGTGGGACGAACGTACCGTCCTTGCACTTTCGGACTTCGCTCCTGTGGAACAAAATCCGATTACGCCGCTCACGACAGGACGATTTCCTTGGAACATGACTGCTGCTCGACTGCCCCATAGTAAGAGAATGTGTGCTTAGCACCATACTTCTTCAAGAACCAATCATTCATTCAAGATGAGATTATCTCACCGACTGGTGGGGACCGACGTCGACGACGGTATCACCCTCGTTTCGGTGTGATCAACAGTCGACAGGGTTAAACCAAAAAGGACAGCACGGCCGTCTTCAGAGGATTGTTAACGCCATCAAAAGAGACGGACGTCGGATATGAGGTGTTCTTGTCGACAGGCCTAGTGGTCGTCCGGAAGTTTACCGGCATGCAAAATGTCAATATGTTTATCTGGTGTAGCACGTATACCCGTGTTAAAGGGGCCATGAAATGATTCTTTAACTTCTTCTTCCTCAGCTTTAATCCTCAACTCAAAAGAAAACAGTGGAATCACGCGGTCGTGACATGCTAGGGCACCGGTGCGATGACCCAAAGCTTCCACCGTGCTTTTTAAGCACACCATAGGACTTGTCATTCGCAAGTGAACTCATGTGCACTCATTGGCCACGAACGCGAATTCAAATATTCATCGACGAATTGATCGTTGACGAGCGCACACGTCCGAGTGACGCAGTTTTCGTGTCAAATGCGTGAGCTGCTGTAGGCTGGCGTCATTTTGGCTTTTGTAGGCATTCCGAACAGGGTATTTAGAACCATACACACATGATGATAGCATCATGGCACACGGACATTAATGAGTACAAAACGGGCCCAGCTACAAAAAATAAATATTAAACTCGTGAAAAATAATTGTCTGTAACTTGTTAATTACAAAGACGAACACACCTCTGAGCATATAAAATTAAGTGTGTGTTGATGCATTCTTATAGAGCAGGTGATTTCATATACGTCATTTTAGCAAACGCCTGCTTGTCACTTGAAAAAAACAAAACAAAACAGAAAAAACAAAAAACACTGCGATCAAATGGAAGCTATTGAAACAAAAGGACGTTTATCAAAGTCTTCAGATCTGTCAATTCGTAAAATCGTCGATTAGTACAAAAGGTTAAAGGTCGCAGGCGCTTCCTCGCTTAAAGTTGCTGTAATTATTCGGTGACCCAGGGCTGAAACAACTTCCCCTAGGCCCTATACATGACGTATACCTTTCGTTTCGATTGTCAGAAATTCCAACATTCAAAGGAAGCTAGAAAATGCGAAAATGTTATCCTAAAAGCTATATCGTAAGATCGTTGATTAGTAAAAGACGCAAAGATCGCAGGTGCTTCCCCGCTAAAAGTTTGTGATTACGCGGTTACCTGGGGCTGAAACA